TATTATAAATGCTTGTATTGTCAAGTAACCCAAAACAATGCAACTTTATTCAATATTAATTGCATCCCTGAACGCTCGAAGGGATTAAATAACTCCGACCAGGACTCGGCACATAGTCAGCAGCCATCTCCATACTGCAAGGGGCAAAATATTCGAGGTCAGACACAGAGGTAGAGAGAAAAAGAGGCAAAAAGGAAGGGAAAGGCATAGGAAGARAGACTGCAGCTCCTCCGTGGGAACAGATGGAGGGTGAAGGAAGCAGACAGGCTGCTCCAGATGGCAGGAGCTGCAGAGGAGAAGGCTCTCACACCCACCATGTTGTGGCTGTGCGAGGAAGAGGAGCCTCTTGGTTAAAGAGTSTGGAGGGCTCTTGGTTAAAGAGACCGGAGGGCTCCTAAGAGTTGGGTTTGGCTGCATGAGCCACCTCCCCACCAAGGAGTGTTTTCATATGTGCTTTGCCCTCAGGTCACGTCTGCAGGTGTCTGCTCTGCRGTGGGGATCAAGTCTGACCACATTGGGCAGCCCATGGGGCTCCCGGGAAGAGGGCAGCCTTGGGAAAGGGACAAGCCAGGACTAACAGGGCTTAGGTAGCAAAAGCCAGAGGAAACACAGCTTGAAGGAAGCACGTGGACCCTTGTGAGCCAACCACACAGCAGCTGAAGGCCCCCAAAGGACATTATCCCTGTGCTACATGGYCTGGGTGTCCCTGCTGGGGCAGGGGRGTTGGACTAGATCAACTCCATAGGTCCCTTCCAACCTCAACCATTCTGTGATTCTGTGATTACCCCCCTGGAAGCCTTTGCTATTGGGTTACTTGCAGTCTTGGGCAGCCAAAACACTGTCCCTCTGCTCCATCCACTCTGCCATTGCCCCAAACAGCCACTAAATCAATGTTACAAAGTGTTCGTCTTCCTAGTCTTTATTTCTCATTTCAATCACAAAATTAACCACAAAATTACATTAGTCTCCCCCAATATGGGACGGCAAGTCATGCCAAATGACAGCAAGCAGCACTCCTCAGTTTAAAACAGGTATGTGGCCTAAAAGGAGCCCTCTCCATAAGCTCCTGGTTGCTGCACGTGGGCAACCCGTCCCAAAACATCTTACTCGTTCCACAGCGTTAATTAAACATCAGCGTTTGGAGCTCGGTTTTCCCTCCTCTTCTCACAGACACTAGTGAGCTGCTGCGTGTACCCAGGACCCGACAGCACAAACTACCCCTAGATCCGCCTGTTTTCAGCCTCAGAGTTGCCAGAATTACAGATTTTAAGGCAGAAGGGACCATGAGGCATTTCCTGCATAAACGTGGGCAAGAGCCTCTTTGCCAGCGACTCTTGCTTGAAGCCTGAGAGCTTTCAGATGATAAAAGGATTTCTCCTAGCAATTCATCCTGGAGCAGATGGGAACCACTTGCATTTATAGTTTGTCCCTGTGGTTAATCAACCCTCCTCCTGCAAGCGCCTGCTTTAACTTCAGCCCTTTGGGGGCCAGTATTTTCTTCCCGAAGATAATKTTTTTTACTCTGAAACGTTTTCTTAATGTAATTAAAAACAAGCAAATAGTGAACCCAGAAAAAGATGAAGCAACCTAATATATTCACGCCTGTACTGAAGGAGTTTCGTAAGAGACAGGCAGAAACTAATGGTAATGTCAGCAGAACCATGAAAAAATAGACTCTCTAGTCTATAAACAGTGGCATGAAGTCAGAGGAAGGCCAGATATCAGTGTTTTTCTTTGAATCTCAGGAACATTCAAAAATCAGAAGGGGAAGCTCCTGAGTAATTCACATGGCACTGCAGGGATGGCCAAGCAGGCGTGATTCACCGTGTTGAATAAAACACAAGTGGTTTGGGCACTTCGGAAGTTTCTTCTCCCAATCAAGGCGAAGGGAAGATGCTGGATCAGACAGGGAGGAACCAGGTGCCTACAGGAGCCACCACTCAAGTGCATTTGGGGTCCCACCATATCCATGCAAGAGGGAGYGTAGGAACCAAAAACGACAGCAGAGCCCCTAAGAAAACAAAACCCAACCAAATAAAAAAACAGAGCCACCTCAGAGCTTCCTCTAAACTGCATTTTCAAAAAGAAAAAGCAGAAATACTGAGCTTGTCATCGTGGTCCATCTGTGTTCCTGTCCACACTTACTACGGTACGGATGTATCCCCGTGTTGCTTTAAGAACTCTACCACAGCATTTTTAAGGACAATTCTGGTATTCCCATCACATTTCCATCACACAAATACAAAGCTCGAGCTTTCCTAAATAAGACAGCTTGATCATAACTCTAAAGTCAATATGGGCTAACGACAGATATCTTGCAAACATATGGCCGAGCTGATCAGACCGGCCAGATGACGGGCGAAACAGGATGACACTGTTTATCTTATTATTTCCTGGAACGTGGCAATCTGAAGTTTTAAAATGCCGTAGACGTGATATTAGTTAACTACAGGGGGAAAAATGCTGTGTCAGGAGCCCTCACATCCGCATGGCAGTGATCACGGCTCTCGTGAGGACTTTTGTCCCCCAGGGGACACAACCCCACCTCTGCCCGAGGTATGCAAGCTCTCCAGAGGTAAAACTGGCAAATCCGTTAAAAATCCAAGAGATAGGCAGTGAGTTCTGARGAAAGAAGAGCCTTTGACTATGTCTGGCCTCCATGGCCAAAAATTTCCAACCAAAAAATTGATTTTTGGATGTTTTTGATGATGTTTTTGACGTTCCACAGCAAGACCACAGGATTGAACCCCATGCAACCCCCACTCCCCACCATGTGTTTTTGTGACACTTCTATTATGAATACGACCAAAATATTGTGATAACACCTGGGTTTCTCAGAGCCTGCAGCCATGAAATAAGTTTGCACATGGTGGCAGCGCCTAAACACAAACCAAGACAGCAGCCTCTCATCTTTGGTTCCTCAGCTCTCATTCCCACATCTTCATTTCTGCCTCCTTCCCTTTTCTCCTCTATCAGCTTCTCTTGCCTCCCTTCACATATCCTCCCTTTTCCCTTAAATGCTTCTCCTTGTCTCTTCTTCCCACTTCCACRGTCGCAGAGGAAATTGAGATGGAGACGGACCATCCTTACGGGCTCCCTGAAGCCCCAAATCATACTGTGATTAACCAAGTTAAGCTCTTTTTAATAATTCCACCAATTTCAACTCTCCGTCCATTAAAGATGTGCCAAAAAGCTTTTACTCAAATGAAAGCCTCCTTTCTGAGAGCAAATCATTAACAAAGCATATGCACAGAATTAGCATTTACAAGTCAATGCGCTTAAAATAAATTATGCTTTAAAAGTTTCACTTTCTTCCCCAATTTGATGGCTTAGTGCCTGTTTTGTTTTTCCTGGGGCTAATTTAATCGCAACATGCCAGGACTGCTGCAGAGGATACAGAAAAAGGGCTGCTTCTCTGCTAAAGGTGTTTTTAGCACTTTGACATCCTAAAATGGAAGGTGGCAGAGAAATGCAAGATATGGGCACTATATTCACTATATTCACGTTTCATCTGTGACTCACTGGGAGCTTCACTGGGAGCCCCATGCACCCCACAGGAAAACAATCACCTATCAGACAGTGAGATCTATTGACACTCGTCCAACACGGTTCAGCATTAGAGCGCGGGAGGGATCAAAGCAGATTTTAGCTCTGCTCCTAAATCATGCCAGAGGAAAGGATTTGGACCAAATGCTCTAAAGGTACTTAGACTTTTGCTTAATTCCTATTTAAGTACTTTCCTATGTATCAGGAGGGATCTGTGCCCTGTCATTCGGGCTCCAGCACCCTGGGTATCCGCTGCTGCCGTCAGCGATTGGAGCAGGGAACTTCCATCGGCTGCAGGGGGTACTTTAATGATTCGCATGGTAATAACTTATTTATTTATCATCTTTAAGCAGCCCCACAGCCCGGCAAGGACCCGCAGGTGCCTCTCGGCTGGGCGGGCAAGRACAGCACCCAAATCCCTCAGGGAAACCGCCGCCAAGTGCACACGTTGCTGGATCCGCACGCGCGGCGTTAAACACAGACCCGTTCACAAGCACCGTGATGGAGCCTGGAGGGGGAAAGAGACAGAAACAAGCGCTGTGAATCGGGGTGCACGTTCTGCACCCCGATTCTTTCCATTCTGCTCAAGTTTGCAGGCTGACTGTTAAGGCTCCCCACGAGCGGCTCGGTGACCGCGGCGCTCACGGGCTGCGCGCCCCACGCGCGGGGTGAGCGGCGCCGCGCCGGGTTGGCCCCACGTTGCCGCTCAGCGCTCCGACCGGCTCCACCTCGGCACCTGCACCTGCTCCCTTAACTTTCCCGGGATACGGAGAGCGGGACACGGAGGAGGTCTGCATGGTTGGCTCCTTCCAAGCCGCTCCAGCGGCACAAAACCCATCGCTTCACGCTCCGCCACCAAGAAGATAACGGGTAATCGCATCATGGAAACCACAGCGAGTCGCCCCTCTGGTCTGGGGAATGAATCTGGGCGTTAAAACTTCATCCTCGGGAAAGGGGCAGGTTGACACGGCCCTGGCGACACGAAAGTCCGCGGGCCGGGGCGCGAGGTGACGGGGACGGCCGCGTCTCCGGCGCTGCGTGCCCCCAGCGCGCTTTATTCACAGGGAGGAAAGCCAGGACTAGCGCGGAGCTCGCGGGCCGGGAATGCTCCGTTTATAGGGAGCCCTCCCTCGGAGGCAGAAGGCAAGTGAAGCGCTGGAGGTTGCGCCTCTCGCCGCCGGCACCGCTGCGCCGGGAGCCCGCGGATGCGCGAGCGGGATGCGGCGCCGCCGGCCAAGCGACACGGAACCAACCACCAAAACCGAGATTAAGCGGCACCGAGCCCTGGCGCTTCTCGCCACCCGCGCACCTTCACGCGGCTCCTCGCGCAACGAACAAACCCGCGGCGGGAACGGGTAGGGCTCGGTGCCCTTCACGGCGCGGGCCGCCGGGCAGCGGCCGCCGCCAACGGGCGCCCCGGCGCCGCCGCCCCGCGCCGCCGCCCCGGCACCTACGTGCCCAGCGTCTCCTTGAACTCGAAGATCTTCTTGATGTCCTCGGCCTGCTTCTTCCAGGAGCCGCCGCCGCCCTCCCGGGCCATGGCCCCGCCGCCGATGCCCGCCGGGGCGGCACGGGGGCCGCCGCGCGGCTTTTGCTTTCTCTTCTGCCGCCGCTTCCTCCCCTCCTCCTCTTCCTCGCGCTTCCTGCCCGCCGCCGCTTGCGTTTCCTCCCCGCCGCTCCGCCGGGCTCCGCGAGTGCCACTTTTCCCGGGCTATTTCCTCCCAACTTTCTCTGCCCACCCGCCTTCCCTCCTCCCCCTCCTCCTCCTCCTCCGCCCTGGCTGCCTCCGCGGCGCCGCTCCGCCCCGCGCAGCGCCGCGCACCTCGCTCCGCGGGGCGCTGTGACCCGCCCTCCCCTTCCCCCCAGCYAGCCAAAGTCTTTATTTATTTTGAGGGAGGAGCTACTCTTTATATATATATATTTTTATATATATATAATTATTATATATATATATATTTTTTTTTTTAATGGAGGGGACCACGCGGGCGCGCTCCGCGCTGCGCAGGGACCGCGGCGGTGCCCGGTTGTTATGGCGATGGGGGAGGAGGAGGAGGAGGAGGAGGGAGGAGGAGGAGGAAGGAGGAGCGGGCGGCTGCCTCGCGCGCCGCTCTCCGCGTCCCTCCTGATTGACTGGCTGGAGATAATTCGCATTGCACCAAAACGGCGCACGTCAAACGGGAGGGGAGGGAAAGCATGAAATAAAAAAGGGGGGAAAAGGGAAGGGAAGGGAAGGGAAGGGAAGG